GCTGACCTTCAGATCTATTTCATTGTGTGGCAGAAAAAGGTGGACGAGGAGTGAAAAAAGTGACAGGACGGTAATTGACTCTGCCATTTATAGTCACAGACTCTTGGTTAGCAACACACTGGGAGTGAGACTCAACGCAGGAGGAGAATGAGAGAGACACAAAGACTGGTGGAAGGGAAGAGAGATAATTGAAGATACAGATTGGTGGATAAGGCATCTTTTGAGTTCTGAAAAAATAACTTGCAAATACCACATACGCATTCCACGAAGTATAATTTTGAGACTATTTTTTACGTTGTTATTGCAATACGTAGAAAAATTGCATTAAAGAATTGAAAATACGATACGAATTTTTATTTGGAAATACTTTTTTCTTATTATTTACGATGAGTAATATAAAGATAAGACTTAAGATTTCGATTTTTTAATTATTTTATTAATAATTTGGAAAGGAAAAGAATTACCACATTTTGATAAGATAACCAATTATTTTTATATCGGCAGAATACATTACAATGGAGTTGCATATTATTTATGAATATCGTAACTTATATTATATTTCATCGTGTAGATAATAAATATAATAACTAATATATTAATTAATATGTTACTATAAATTTCATTTTATAAATACAATTTTAATTTTATTTTTTCTTATTGATTTATATTTGTTACTATATAAATAAATAACTAAATAGGTATGTATATATATATATATATATATATATATATATATATATATATAGAGAGAGAGAGAGAGAGAACTGTAGTTGTAGGCGATCTTGATGTCTTAGGATTATACTCTTATAATCGTTCAAACTGCTATTTACGATCCTTCATATGACTGTATATAGTAAATTATAGGCTATTTTTTTACGATTAAATGTGGCTTCGGATTGGTTCCAGATGTAATAGCGATATGTGAAGGCGTAGGTTATAGTCGCACGTTGGCTTCGACGCAGCATAAATTTAATAATTAATTATTTCCATATAGTTATATCGATTATTCTATAAGGTTCCATGCAAAAAGTCACTTCTATACGGCACCCAGTTAATGCAGAATTTACCTGGGTAACACGTGGCCTTCTCGGCGCAATATAAATCCCATTACGAGATATCGATATGCCTCGAAACATATGATAAACTGATTTTGGTTTTTAAGTAGTTCAGTATATTGTCATTTACAATGTAATTTTGGATCTTGAAGTTACGATAATCCAAGTGATAACAATGCAAAGTTGTAATGACAGTAGAGATATTGTGATTGAATTGATATTTAACGAACACGCCATTATTTATCTTGTTTTGTGCAGTTCGGATAATTATATTGCATGATAAATTGTTCTGTTATGATGATGTAAAGAACTTTAAGAATCATATATATAAATTTCCATTATACAGACAGTTTTATGTATTTCATATTGAAATTTCCAAGCAAAAATATAACGGTTCCCCATACTTTTATCGTATTCAAATTTTCCTTCTTTATAAATAGGTTTCAATTATTTTTAAGTATATATTTATGGGAAAAAAAGATTTTTTGTTTGTTGTTTTGTTTATTTTTTGTTACTGTAAATATTTCTATTTTAAAAAAATTGAGCATAACTATGAATAACTATGAATATATATTAAAAGAAGAATCATGTTAGAAGATACATTTTTCTATTACTCTAATTCCCAAAAGTATATATTAAATTAAATTCTTATAAGAGTAAATGTAGCTTTGATGAATTAGTATTTTATAAAACACGCGTACTTTCTTTCTTAAATATTCTTGCATGCAACTCTTACGTCAGATAAAAGTAAATTTTACATATTTTTTGAAAAATATTTTAGTTAATTGAAAATTAAAATAAAAATCTACTTTAGAAACAAGAAATGAACTGCCAGGAAGGAACCCATTAAATGACAAGGCGATGACGTAAGACTAAATAAGAGTGCGGCGATGGTAAGATTCGCAACCGTATATCTTCGCTCATCAATGACGATAATTGGCCCTTGCAAAAGCCGCCCTTAATATCCAATGTATCCCTCGCAACGCCTTTTAACCATTCCAAATCCTGCGAAAGGTTCCGGATGCGTGGGGGCGTAGACTCGTGATTACGGCGTTTTCCTAGGAAATGATGTATTCCTTAATCTCTCCAGGCACTTTGTCTAGAGCAGGCGCTTATATACTTATATCAGGCTTATATATCCCCGGGATACATTGCTTCAATATCCAGGAACCATACAATCCGAGCACGCTTACGTTTCGCAGGGGGGTTTACTCAAAAAATAGTAATTTATAGTATGAGCGTTGGGATTTTAAATTACACCGGCGGAGTTAGGAGCCACTTATTTATCTCTCATTGTTTCGTATAGAAGCTGATATACGAATGCGAAGAATTAGGAAAAACATAACGCCTATCAATAAATGTGTTTTTAAGTAGAGAATTCATCAGACTTTACTCGCATCTTTTATTTGTATTAATTATGTTTATTGTTAATGATAATAGTAATAATAATAATAATATATTGTCCGAATGTTATATTTTAGTATAAAATGAATTAAATGTCACTGTCATAAGTTAGAAATTGTTAAAAGTTGTTCAGTAATACAATTTATCTTGGAATAAAATTCGAAAAATTCATAGATCTTTGAAATTAAGTATAGTTATAAGTACTTTATACTTGTGTAAAAGGGTGTTGCGTGTGGTTGAGAAAACCTTTTATATTCGAACGTAATTTGTAGAATAACCATGAAATATTACAATTTTTTCTTTGGCGAGAATGAAAATTAT